GATTAGAGGCGTGAGCCACCACACCTGTCCAAACTATTGCAATTCTTATAGCTGAAATATGTAACCAGAGGGAAGTACCAAAAATTGCATTTGTGGTAATAGTATCAGTTTTCATGCATTCCAGAGATACCCTGGGTATATAAACAACCCTATAAATAGAAATCAATTTTCTTCATCTGGGATTTGATTCTAAATTCTTTTGCTTGCAAAAGATGCAGTGAGACAAAAGCAGGCTTTCTAAGACCAGATCACTTGATCTATACAGAAGATGAGTCTCTGAATTAGAAGGGGGTGGTCATCATTTGGTATTCAGAAATTAAAACAGAAGGTTTAAGCACCAATCAAGGATGTTTGAAGGGAAAAGTGGCTAGATTTTAAGATTACTCAATAGAAACTGTTTTCTGGAAAAGAAGCCAATTACACACCCTGGGAAGAGTGCTTTATGTTGTTAGTGATAATTGTTCCTCATTAACTTTGCTGCAGAGATGCTTTGGTACACTATACATAGATGTGGATATGGTCACCTTCTTTGAGTTAAATGCAAACTACTTTAGACCAGATGGCTTCTGGTCTGTAGATTTCTCTAGAATTTCCTGAATTCACCTAAACTGTTAAAAAACAAACCCGAAAAACTAAAAGAAAAAAAAATAAGCTTTTATTTAAATTTTTGTTTTGGAGGTTCTTATACTTGCTATTACAGCATCTGATTTTAGCTGATAAAGCCTTAAATTCCATTCTACTTCATGCTTGAAATTCAAAGGGTTCTGAAAGGAATGCAGATTGATTTACTTCTAACTTGCTGTGTTAGCTGGAGTAAATTATTTAACTGATTTGTGCTTTTTTTGGAGGAGAGGTTACATTAGTCTGCCTCTTGAGTGTTTCTGGGACACTTAAGTGTAAAAACCATCCTGAAATACATTATCCAAAGTAACTCATGGCAGAGTCTGTTTTTCTCTGCCTTGATGGCTGTAGATTGTAGAGTTTTAATTACTAATGTACTTTCCATGAGTCCCAGTGATGATAAGATGCACCCTCAGTTTAACAAGAATTTTCAAAGTAACAGTAGGAAGTTTGTGTCAATTGTGGTATACAATTTTATTTCAGCAACATTAAAATGTAAACATATATACATCTTAAAATTGAGGAAATGTAGTGATGCCTAATTCCCAGAGTTGTTCTGAAGATTAAATGAGGTTCTCATTCTACACTGTGAAGTGTTACAATTCAAATATTGTTACTTGCCTCACCCACCACACAGCCCAGCTTTTAACAATATACTAGTGACTTGAAAAAATAAAAGAATATTTCATTCAATTTTGGGATCAAACTTTTTCATGAGAGTCATTGTTTTAAGGGAAGATATATCATTCTTTTTTTCTTTTTCTTTTCTTTTTTTTTTGGAGACAGGGGTCTCACTCTGTCACCCAGGCTGGAGCGCAGTGGTGCTATCTCAGCTTATTGCAACCTCTGCCCCCTGGGTTCAAGGTGATTCTCGTGTCTCAGCCTCCTAAGTAGCTGGGATTACAGGCATGTGCCACCATGCCTGGTCAATTTTTCTATTTTTAGTAGGGACAGGGTTTCACCATATTGGCCAGGCTGGTCGATCTCCTAACCTTGTGATCTGCCCACCTCTGCCTCCCAAAGCGCTGGGATTACAGGCGTGAACCACCGCACCCCGTCCCAGAAGGAAATTTGAAGTTCAGTGAATTTCATCCCCAAAGTTTATAACAGGGAAAAACAGAGGTCCAGAGAAATAAAATGATTTATCCATATTCATATGGTTCATGGCACAGTTGAGACAGAAAGAGGAGTTTTTATGGAGGACATTGACAATTGTTAGTAATTATGATTATATACAGTGAAGCATTGAAGCTAGCTTTGTAACTTCAGTTCAAACAAATATCATTCAATTTTGGGGTCATTCAAACAAAGGAGTGGTAGGATGTTAATCCCCCAAATGCACAATGCCTTAGCAACAGTACAGTGCAAGGGTAAGCTGATTTATGTTGTGGAATTGAGGTGGTGGGGATTGAGAGTGTGAAAGCTGTCAGAATCAAAATGGAGTCACTAATGAAAAAAAAAAAAACTCTGATAAATAGAGCCATGAAGGAAGAGTTTTTATGCATAAATGCCTCGTATCAAAACGACCACAAAAGACTTCAAAACCTACAACCTTGCGCAGAGGCATCACAACCCTGCACTGAAAAACTCTTCTATCAGGACATCTGCCCAGCAACTGCCTGTCCAGCCTTAGACTGGCATCACCCCTGTAATTGATATTTGTAGCCAAGCATACTTATTTCAAAACAATTATGCAATCTTCCTCATTTTTTTCTTCTTAAAAACCTCTGTCTTCTGTTACCTCCCTGAATACACACGGAGTTTACTATGGCAGGCATCTTTCCATTGCGGTAGTTTTTTTCCCAAATAAACTTCTTTTCTTTTAGAGAGTCTCTCTCTTTGTTATTTAAGTGACAAGAGTGCATGAGAAATGCACAAGTGTAGAATTCTGATTTACTAGATCACCTCCTCCCCATGGAAAACAAAACCTCACTCAGACTGAGTGAAGGAGTGCTTGAACTAAGTCTTTCTGTACAGGAAAGGAGTTACACACCCCTCCAGGACGCCACCCCGACCCCCAAGCAATTTGTTTTGGTCTGAAAATGACAAAGCAGACTGGACCTCAGGCATGTGACTACTGGCCTGTGACAGACCTGTTCACAGTAGAACCGTAAGAGGTTATGACTTCCCTTGTGGGCACCAGGAGGCTGGGCTGAGCCCGCATGAATGATGGCACTTGCTAGGGTCACAGAGATGCATCTTTAAGTGCATTCAATTAGAGACCTACCCATACAACTGCATCTCTGACATGGCACTGTACATTCCATAGCACCTTTCTAGAAGGCTTATCTGAGACTTGCAGGCAGGATCCAGCTCATTGTGGCTTTATCTACACAAGGCAGGTTAACAGGGTTGTTACCATTTCCCATCTGTGGCTACCGATACCTGGTTCGATAATTGTTCCAAGCCCCCTAGCTGAGGGGAAGTAGAGTCAGCTCTCTTAATGCTGTGAGTTGCTCTATCTGGCCTTAGCTTGGCCTGCTTTTCAACTTTGACACAAACTGGAAGCAAGCTGCAAAGCCGAATTGAAGATTAGTAGGATTTTAAAACACAGCTTGGTGTGATGGCACAGGCCTGTAGTCCCAGCTACTTGGGAAGCTGAGGTAGGAGGATCTTTTGAGCCCAGGAGTTGGAAGCTGTAGTGAGCTATGATCGCGCCACTGCACTCCAGCCCGGGCGAATGAGTAAGAGACCCCGACTGCCGCCCCCCACAACAAAAACGGAAAGTAGGATACGTCGTCTGTATTTACAACTAGCTCATTTAGTTCTCAGACATGAGTATTATGACAATATTCATTTGGCAGTTCAGGATCCGAGCGTAAGAAAGCCTAAGTGAGCTGCTGAGTGAGCCCAGTGGTCCCGAGGCGTCCTGACTTCCAAGGCTCTGGACCTTCGTGCTGCTGTCAGGAGCACGTCGCCACACCCCTCCCTATGGGTCCCCCTGCAGGGGTTCCTGTCACCTAGACACTTGTCCTGAGCTCCGGCGCAGGCTGCAGCTTCTCCCTGCCTGACCCCGCCAGCCTGCCTCTCCTCACCCGGGGACCAGCAGAAGCCTGGGCCTTCGTCTGGCGCTGCGACTCCGGTCTTTAGTCTTTGTTTGGAGCACGAGAGAACCTGGGAACGGGAGGAGGCGTGACTTCAATATTCGTATCGGTGTTAAATAAACGATTTCCTAATCTGTATCTGTTACATGCCAGCGTGAAACTTCTGTAGGCAGAGCCGGCTGCGCTGCCAGCCCTTCCTTCTGCTCTCCCCACCCACCTCTGCCTCCCCCACCCAGCCTTCCCTCGGCAGCAGCGGGGAAGAACAGCCCAGCAGACCAAACAGCCGGGGCTGCGGGTGGGAAGCTGTTCCCGCCGCTAGTGGCTGGCGTTGGAGAATGTGAAGATTTTTCCATTCATAAAAGGAACGTCCCCGCTCGCAGCCTTCCCGCCCGCTGCACACCGCCACATCCGCAGCGGGTAGGGCTGGGTCTTGGGGCATTCGGTTCCCAGGAGCCTACCCGGGCGCGCTCTCGCCTTTCTCCAGGACGCCCCATTTTGTGAACTGCACCGCGTGTCCTCGTTCAGTCCGTGCACACGGTTGACCTGCAGCGCGGATGAGCACCCTTGATTGAAACGAAGAGACAAAATGGCTTGTGGTTCAATTCATGCATAAAACCTCACCCTTGGACTTCAGGCTGCCCGACATTTTGTGACTTGCATTTTTTTTTTCTTTGTGATAGTTTTAAGAAGCGACTGTCAGGCCAGGTGGCCTAACCATTTCTAAACGACTGGCTTTTTAGGACCCCGTTTTCCCCCTTCTATGGCGGTGGGTTGGGGGTGGGGGTGGAACTGGAGTGGCCCAGGGAGACGATGGCAGGGGTGTGGCGGGGCAGGGCATTGTACTAATTCAAGATGCAATCTCCATCCAAATAATGGATTGTCATTAACGATGATCCTCTCTGCAAAACCCTTAAAATTGCCCCTTGATTCCCTAGCAGCAAGAGGCGAGCCCTTATTCGCTGAGCTGAATCCTCCTCCCCCTTCCTCCCCATTACTCTGCTCTGGAAATTACAACTCCTCGGCGCAGCAGCTGCGGGAGGGAGGCGGGGAAGGGATTCCCGAGCCAGCCGGGCGCTTGCCCTCCGCCCGCCGGCTGCAGTGTTGCGAGGCCAAGGTCAGAGGCGCCGCAGGAGCAGCAGCTGGGAACCAGGGAAGCGGGTCAATTCCGGCCGCAGGGAGGCAGCCCGAGGGCGCAGTCAGCCGGCGTCCGCAGCCGCCGAGGAGGAAGGCGAGCGGCTGTCTCCGGGCGGGTCGGGTCCCGCCGAGGTGGCCGCGGCTCCAGCGACCCGGCTGGTGGCTGCCCAGGGGTCGGCGAGCCGGCAGCTGCAGCCCCACCTTCGGCTCCCGGGCGCTGTCCGCCGCCTCGTGGTGCTGATCCCAGCCCCGCAGCTGAGCGGCCTTCGCACCTGCCTGCTCACCTCCCGATCACCCGGATAAGAAGCCGGGCGGGGGCAAAAAGGGAGCCTTGGGGTGGCCGCCCACCGGAGCCAGGGGCTGCAGCAGCGAGCGCACAGCAGCCCAGCCGCTGGTCCTGGAGTGGAGAGGAGGAGCGCGCTGGGCCGGCGGCGGCGCTGGTGCTGATTCATCACCTAGAGCTCCTCGCAGGCCACCGCCAGGGCAGCCGACAGGCTCCGGACACTGGCCGTAGGTTGAAGCCTCCGGTGCAGAAGCCTCGCGGGCAGGAGGTGAGGACCCCCTCCCTTCTCTCGCCCCCCGATCATCCTAGGGCGGTGGCTACAGGACAGAGAGAGGGGCGTGCCCCTCGGCTGTGAAGTGGGCATGCCCGTGTGATGCCCCCGCCTGCCGTCTCACCGGAGCTTGCCACGCTGATCCTCCGCCGGTCTCCCGAGCTCCGGCCATTCATCCCCAGCGCAGAGCAGCGCGGGCAGCAGGCACCGCGATGGAGGAAGAGCTGAAGTGTCCCGTGTGCGGCTCTCTGTTTCGGGAGCCCATCATCCTGCCCTGTTCCCACAATGTCTGCCTCCCTTGCGCTCGTACCATCGCGGTGCAGACCCCGGACGGCGAGCAGCACCTGCCCCAGCCGCTCCTGCTTTCCCGGAGCTCGGGGCTGCCCGCGGGTGCAGCTGCCGCTCCCTCTCTGGAGCACGACGCGGCGGCTGGCCTGGCCTGCAGCGGTGCGGGCGGGAGTGCAGCTGGCGGCCTCGGCGGCGGTGCTGGAGGTGGCGGAGACCACGCGGACAAGCTGAGCTTGTACAGCGAGACAGACAGCGGCTACGGATCCTACACCCCGAGCCTCAAGTCCCCCAACGGGGTTCGTGTGCTGCCCATGGTGCCTGCACCACCCGGCTCCTCAGCCGCTGCGGCCCGCGGTGCCGCCTGCTCCTCGCTGTCCTCGTCTTCGAGCTCCATCACGTGCCCGCAGTGCCACCGCAGCGCCTCCTTGGACCATCGTGGCTTGCGTGGCTTCCAGCGCAACCGGCTGCTCGAGGCCATAGTGCAGCGGTACCAGCAGGGCCGCGGGGCAGTGCCGGGGGCGTCTGCAGCCGTGGCGGTGGCCATCTGCCAGCTGTGCGACCGCACCCCTCCAGAGCCAGCAGCCACGCTCTGCGAGCAGTGCGACGTCCTCTACTGCTCTGCCTGCCAGCTTAAGTGCCATCCATCCCGGGGACCCTTCGCCAAGCATCGCCTGGTGCAGCCGCCGCCGCCGCCGCCGCCCACGCCAGCCGAGGCAGCCTCCGCACCCACCGGTGCCACCCAGGGCGCCCCCAGCGGAGGCGGAGGCTGCAAGAGCCCAGGAGGCACTGGGGCTGGGGCGTCTGGGGGCAGCACGACCCGCAAGTTCCCCACGTGCCCGGAGCATGAAATGGAGAACTACAGTATGTACTGCGTGAGCTGCCGAACCCCTGTGTGCTATCTGTGCCTGGAGGAGGGCCGGCACACCAAGCACGAGGTGAAGCCGCTGGGGGCCATGTGGAAACAGCACAAGGTGAGCCCGCCGGGCAGGATGCGGGAGTGCAGGTGCCAGGGAAGAGGGTACAAGGAGAAAGGCTCTTGGTCTCTCCCTTACAGAGCTGACAGAAAGTCAGTCAGAGGGTCAAGCAGGAATGACCTCACTCATTTGCCATTCATTCCATCAGATAGTCATTTGACAAACACCTAAGGAACTCCAGGTACTCTGGACTGGATGCTGGAGATGGGAGGGGTATGGAAAGATGGCTTGCTAGGTCCCCACCCACATCAGGTTTTAGGATTTACATAGGCACAGGGCACCCCAAACGCAGAAACAGGACTCTTTTACTCCCGAAGTCTGACTAATAAGTTACCTTGATGGTCTCTTTTGAGTTAAGGCATGCAGGGTCATCTTTTCCCCTCTGCCACTCTCAGCAATTTATGGCTGGCCATGTGTCCTTGTATCTGATACTGCCAGAGAGAAGCCATTAAAACCTGGTCAGGTCCTTGATCAGACCCGAAGTCAAGACTGGAGTGGGTTTTTCTAACATTCACCTAAATTTCCCATCCAAAGGCCAAAGCTAAGCAACTGAACTCACTTCCCCAGAGGTCAATGAGCTAGGCCTGGCAGAGTTAGAATCCTGTGGGACGGACCCCTAGCCGCCTCTGGAACTTCAGACACCAATCATTCTGTGTGCTCTTACCAGTAAACTCTCACCGCAGAGAGGCAAAAGGTCTCCAAACAGCTCTGCCAGAAATATATATTTGGATTGAGAAGGAAAATAAAGTAATTGGTCAAGGCTATCACATACCATCCAACTGGAAATAAGCAAAAAGTGAGCACAGATGAGAGTAAAAGAAGAGACTAAGAGACTAACCATTGCTATATAGATTTGCTCTTCACATATAGTTACTCTATAGTATTATCTGCTACAATGAGCATATGTTGTTACTATAATTTAACATTTTAGAATAAAAAATTAGAAAAAACAAATGTGAAACATTTTAGAAATCCACCTTTAAGAGGAAAATTTGCATAATACATAGAAAAAAAGAGAAATATGTAGTCAAATCCCTAGTTGTAGAGCAGTAGTTCTCAACTGGATCCAGTTTTCACCCCTTGCCCCACCCCCTCCCCAACATTTGGCAATGTCTGGGGACCTTTTTAGTTGTCACACCTACAGGGTGTCACTGGAATCTAGTAGACAGAGGCCAGAGAAGCTGATAAACATTCAACAGTGCACAGGAAACCTCCCCAAAACAATTATCCTGCCCCAAATATCAATAGTGCTCTGGAGAGAAATCCTGCTCTATAGTTACACAGACTTGTATACAAATCTTAGGACTTGTAATTTACTAGCCATATAAGTCTAGGCACAATTTAAAATTCATAGGAAAAAATATCAAACTTAGACAATTGTGGTAAGGATTAAGTATAATACTGTATATTTAGCCTCTAGCACAGCACCTTACATATTATTAATAAGTAACATTAAATGTTACTGCTTATTTGTATAGTCCTAATACTTAAAACCAGTGGACTTGCAGAAAGCTACCAGGCATAGCAAAGAGTGCTTATCTGGCCTCATTGACTTGGTTAGCAGGAGAAAACATGAGCTGGCAACTTTTGGTAGTGTTTATGCTGAGTCCTAAAATAGCTCTGGGCTGAATCAGAATGGTTGCCTTGAATTAGTTATCATTCATGTGACATTTTAGTGCATATTGCTTCACAGTAATTGTAGCTATCTTGCTTATTTCATCTTTTAAGTGAATAAACATCATTTTGAAAATAAATTATTTATTAAAAAGACTATGACCAATTACCAAGACAAGAAGTACAGATTCCAAATCTCACATCAAATTTCACAAACTGCTAAATCTTCACAGCTTAGAGAGCCAAAACTGATTCTGAGTGTTGCCACTCAGATGTTCAGAATTAGTGAAGAGTGGAAACCAGAGTTGAGGTGAGAGTTTGCAATTGTAAGAGAAATTAAGTGTGTCTTACATGGAAAACTGAGTTGGATAATGAACTATGGTTTCAAGAACCAAGGTTCTACAGGAAAAATCATTGGTCATTCCTGGCTTGGTGTCAACAGCAGTTTCATAAAATTTCTATCCTCAGCCAACAATGCAAAGTTATGAGGAATTATGGGAAGCACATGTGATATCTGCCCCATACAGTGGGCAGTGTAAGCTGTGGGAATATGACTATGCAGGATCTCAGTTTTGTGACATCCTCCTAAATCCAGAAGGAACACTCCAAGATACTTTTGTGAACACCTGTTTTCAAGAATGAACAGAAGCACTGCTGGTCTTCTTCAGCAGGTGCCATTGATTTCTGCAGAAAGGGAAATTACTAAGTGCTTATTATGAGCATTTTACTTGGGGACTGACAATCAAAAGAAAAGATAAATGGGGGAGCCCTGGTAAAACACTGGTGGTCTTGCTTTGTGGCTGGGCATCTAGACCACCATGTATGCTGTGAGGGTGACTACTTTTGAAAGACAAATTAGAACACTCCTTTAAGACTCCCACTGTTGGTGATTTAAGTTCTCCAGTAAAACATAAAGTCTCTGGATTTTGTTGTTGTTGTTATCTAAAAATCTCAGAATCTTGACAAAGCATCATTGAACCACCAGAACTAGAATTGGGACAGCAACATTTCTCTAACATTCCTGTGATTAAAGAAGCTGTCATCAAAGCCTTGCTTTAATTTTTCGCTGGTGTGAATGCAGCTTGCTTTCTGATTAGTGATTCTTAAGTAAAGAGACATATATGTGGCACTGAAATCTATTTTAAAACATTATTGACTACCACCTTTTAAAAGCAATGTAAAAAACTTTAGGGCTTGACTAAACACATTTCTATACGTGTTTCTTGGGAGAGGATTAACTGTTTCAAAGAGCTTCTGATGTGAAGATGGGATAGGGAAGGGTAACTGTACAGGAGAGCATTTGGGTTTTTTGCTTCTTGATTATGAAAATCTGTTTTTCCTGAAACTGGAGGAAAGGGTTACTGTATGGCACAGTTCTTTCCCAATGTGACGTGCCACAGGATGTCAACATCTGCAACTCCTGCTTCAGGGAGAGCTCTGACCTGCTGGGTGCAGATGGCCAACTCTGAATTAAAATGTGTAGGAGTTGATTCTTAAGTTGAGGTTACAGAATAACTCTTTTTCTATATATATAGATAAGATCTTCTTCTGGAGTTCCTTGAGAGCTATGGTAAATAGAAGAGTCTTAAAAGAAAATCTCACCGATATCCCAGAAGTACTATTCCAACTGAGTCAGCACCTCACAAGAGCAAGGGAGAGGTTGTGACCTGGAAAATGCAGGAAAGACAGGACTTTTGATCACTCAAATGTCTTTTTTTTTTTTTTAAGAGATGGGATCTTACTACATTGCCCAGGCTAGTCTCCAACTCCTGACCTTAAGTGATATTCCTGCCTTGGCTTCCCAAAGTGCTAGAATTACAGGTGTGGGCCACTGCATCCAGCCAACTCCCATGTTCTAAGGCTCTGCCAAAGGGTAGGTGGCTTCTCGGCCTGCTGTCTTACCTTATTTTGTAAAAAGGGTATGTTAGGCTTTAAAGGCTCAGAGGAAACATTTCTTCTATTAAAAGGGATAACACATACATGACAAAGAACATGTAGTCACAGTTGCACTGTGAGCACAGGTAAAAATATTTTAATATTTGTAAATCTTTTTTTTAAATATTTTGAGACAAGGTCTCTCTCTGTTGCCCGGACTAGAGTGCAGTGCTGTGATCACAGCTCTCTGTAGCCTCAACTTCCTGCACTCAAGCAATCCTCCCACCTCAGCCTCCCAAGTAGCTAGGACTACAGGCACACCCCACCACCATGCCTGGCTAATTTTAAAATTGTCTGTAGAACCAAGGTCTTGCTCTGTTGGCCAGGCTGGTCTCGATTGAACTCCTGGCCTCAAGCTATCCTCCCACCTTGGCCTCCCAAAGCACTGGGATCATGCCTGTAGGTGTGAGCAACTGACCTGACCAATGTATATCATTTCTGATGGCTGCCTGGCATTTCATCAGAAGCAGTTATATTTTATTTCATCAACACCTTAATACTGAACTTTGGGTTGTTTCTGTCTTTTGCTGTTACAAACATTTTGATAGTTAAATCCATGCCTACATTCCTAATTATTTCCTCAGGTTACATTTCTAGATACGGAACTGCTGTATCAAAGGATACCTGACTTTACCACATCCAATTAATGTATCCAAATTACCTTTCATAAAGATGACACCTACTTTCTTTTTCAATTACAAAATTATGTAAACAATTAAAAATTCACATGGACAGGGACCACAGGGAGAAACGATAAGGTGGATTGTCTTCTTTCTAGTAGTTATTGTTTTCTATTTTCACTACATTATTGTTAGAACTATTTTTAAAAAGAAGGTGACATGTATCTAGATTTTCATATTTTTAACTACTAGTTGGGATCTTCCCTCAACAATTGGTTTAACATGTACAGATATCACTTACTATGCCCTCTTGGATTTTAAGGTCTGTGAAAAGACAAGGCTTTGGGGGCCTACCTAAGACATTTTTGGGTGGGGTTGGGCAGGCAAAAATTTAGGTAGGGAAAAATGTTCGGTAAAAACCTTCCAGGAGGTCTGAAATCTACAACTCTATGGCTGATGACTCTACACTAACTGCCAACTTTAAGCAGAGTGTTTGGAGTCCAATCTGAACAGAGTCCGCCAGGGCTCTCAGAGCACGTGGCACGGAAATATGCTCATTCTCATTCTGAGTAGAAGACCTAGGTTTTTTTCTTTAATTTTTAGTTTTTGAGACAGAGTCTTGCTCTGTTACACAGGGTGGAATGCAATGGTGCTATCTCAGCTCACTGCAACCTCCACCTCCCGGATTCAAGTGATTCTCCTACCTCATCCTCCTGAGTAGCTGGGATTATAGGTGCCCACCACCAGGCCTGGCTAATTTTTTTTTTATTATTTTTAGTAGAGACAGGGTTTTGACATGTTGGCGAGACTGGTCTTGAACCCCTGACT